CAACAGTGGGAGGGCTTCTAATGTCCTGGCCCCACTGCTGGACCTCCTGATGGCACCTGGTATTTCTGGCCACTGTGTGACACAAGAGTGTTGGACTGGATGGGCCTTTGGCCTGATCCAACATTGGCATCTCTTATGTTCTTATGACCACGGGCAGAAGCTGAGCCTTCGCTCGAACGCAATGCTTGATGAGCAGCTTTGGTCTGGCCGTTTCTGGGGAACGCAAGCCTAAAGGCTGTGGGCCCTTGCCTCGCGGCATGAAGCTGATGGATTAACTTGGGGAACACCTGTTGGAGTGAGCAATTCAGTCTGGACGGGGGGGGGGCTACATCACTCTAAGGAGATAGATGTTATCTCCTTGAATGGGAAGCCTCTCTGTGTCTTAAACTGGGAGCTACCCTCTGACCCCTCCTCCCTTTGTCCCCTCCCTCACCACACATGGCCTTCCTCCTGTAGAGAAAATGCCCATATACTCTCACACACATGATGCCAGATAAGTTGGCCATTTGTGTTAGGGGGGAGAGGAGGAGGAGATTGGATTTGTACCCCGCCCTTCACTACCTGAAGGAGTCTCAGACACCCTGTGAGGTAGGTGGGGCAGAGGGAGCTCTTTCGAGGACTGCCCTTGAGAGAACAGCCCTGAAATGACTTGTAACTGACCCAAGGTCACACCAGCAGCTGAATTTTTTTTCCAGGCCTTCATATCTCTACATCCAACTGGCTCTCTCTCTCTATTAGGCTTCTTTCTCAAGCCCTCTTTAGATTAGGCGCCTCTCTTTCAACTACAACCCGAGTGCGAACTGAATCTCCTTGAATAAACCCCAGTTTGCCCCCCCCCTCTTTTGCAATATACTTCTTGGGAGATCTATTTACTGCCCTCAGCTTCATGCTTCTAGGACCGGGCAAATCTCTTCCTATATTAACCAAATATCCTAATAACACCAACCTAGAATGTCTTGCCTGCTCTTTGTCTTTCATTTGGTCGCTATCCTGCGTTTCGTGTAAACTGGTTTAAAGGTGTATTTTTTTCGTAAGGGGCTTTGGGTCGCTGTGGAAGAGAAGTGAGACGTGCCAAGGTGGGGTGGCGACTGGGAGGATTCCGCTACGCCCAGCCCAGCCCTGGTAAAGGAAGATGGGCCAGTGATCAGGGGTGATGTGGAGGCTGGACGTCGGGCGGGACATCCACTCATGGGGGGGATTTGTGACTCTGTAGGGTGGACCGGGTACCATTAACCACAACACAGTATGAAGAATAAAGGAATGGGACGGCTACGTCTTGCGGTGTGCAACTGTTTCTTTGGCCCGCAGAGTCACACCCGCTTCTGAGTCTCCTATGCCCAGCGGCGCGGCAGGTGGGGCGTGAAGTGCCATGCCGCATGGCAGCCCCATTCGGAGAAAAATGGGAGATAAGCATAAAACAAAGGAATAAATTTATGCTTAGAGCTTTGCTGTTGAAATGACAGGAGGACAGGAATGCAAAGAATGAGTAAGAGCCTGAGGTTCTGTGCATAAGGACATCGGAAGGGCCCTGCTGGCCCAGACCAGTGTTCCCTCTAGTCCAGCACTCTTGTCTCACACAGTGGCCAACCAGGTCCTCTGGAGGGCCAACAACAGGGCATAGAGGCTGCGGCCTTCATAAGAACATAAGAAGAGCCCTGCTGGATCAGACCAGTGGTCCATCTAGTCCAGCATCCTGTCCCACACAGGGGCCAACCAGTTCCTCTGGAGGGCCAACAACAGGGCAGAGAGGCTGAGGCCTTCCTCTGATGCTGCCTCCTGGCTCTGGGATTCAGAGGTTGACTGCCTCGGAATGTGGAGGTTCCCATCTGTCACCATGGCTAATAGCCACAGATAGACTTATCCTCCATGAATCCGTCTAATCTATCTAGTCCCCTTTTAAAACTGTTTATTCCTGTGGCCATCACGACATCCTCTGGCAGCACATTCCACACTTTAATCACTCTTTGTGTAAAAAAGTATTTCCCTTTGTCCATCCGGAATGTTCCCCGAGCGGCAGCCCTTTCCTCCAGCTCCAGGGGCCTCCCCCCCAATGCAACAGACCGCTACATTCCCTCCACGACATCCCGAACAACGCTACTTTTCTCAGAGCTCCAATTTGTTACCCGGCGATGTTCTCGGAGAGAACAGAGCAGCTGGTAAAAGTCTTACTGTGTGCGAAGTGTAAAGGCGGCGCTGGTGATAGAGGTGGGAAGGTTGAGGCCCTTGGTGATCTCCCGCCAGATCTTCTTGTTGATGATTTCCACCAGCCCGCCTTTCTCGGTCACCAGCTTGTAGAGCATGTACAGGTCCAGGATCTGCTTCGCCATGATGGGGATGCGGTTGATTGGCGTTCCTGCCGCCAGATTTGAAAGAGAGTGAGAGAGAGAGAGAGACGGGAAGGGAAGAGAATGAGTAGGCAGGGGAGGAAAATACAAGGTAAGAACATAGGAACATTAAGAGAAGCCAATGTTGGATCAGGCCCATGGCCCATCCAGTCCACCACCCTGTGTCACACAGTGGCCAAAACTCAGGTGTCATCAGGAGGTCCACCAGTGGGGCCAGAACTCCAGAAGCCCTCCCACTGTGGCCCTCCAAGCACCAAGAATACAGAGCATCACATGCCCTAGACATAAGAACTCAAGAGAAACCATGTTGAATCAGGCCAATGGCCCATCCAGTTCAACACTGTGTGTCACACAGTGGCCAAAACCCAGGTGCCATCAGGAGGTCCACCAGCGGGGCCAGTAATCCAGAAGCCCTCCCACTGTGACCCTTCAAGTACCAAGAAGACAGAGCATCATCAAGAGAAACCATGTTGAATCAGGCCAATGGCCCATCCAGTTCAACACTGTGTGTCACACAGTGGCCAAAACCCAGGTGCCATCAGGAGGTCCACCAGCGGGGCCAGAACTCCAGAAGCCCTCCCACTGTGGCCCTTCAAGTACCAAGAAGACAGAGAACACAAGAATATCAGAGAAGCCATGTTGGATCAGGCCAATGGCCCATCCAGTCCAACACTCTGTGTCACACAGTGGCCAAAACCCAGGTGCCATCAGGAAGTCCACCAGTGGGGCCAGAACTCCAGAAGCCCTCCCACTGTGGCCCTTCAAGTACCAAGAAGACAGAGCATCACTGCCCCTGACAGAGTGTTCCATCTATACCTTGTGGCTAATAGCCACTCATGGACTTCTGCACTTCTTAAGAACACAAGAGAAGCCATGTTGGATCAGACCAATGGCCCATAAAAGAAGCCATGTTGGATCGGGCCAGTCCAACACCCTGTGTCACACAGTGGCCAAAACTCAGGTGCCATCAGGAGGTCCACCAGTGGGGCCAGAACTCCAGAAGCCCTCCCACTGTGGCCCTTCAAGTACCAGGAAGACAGAGAACACAAGAATATCAGAGAAGCCATGTTGGATCAGGCCAATGGCCCATCCAGTCCAACACTCTGTGTCACACAGTGGCCAAAACCCAGGTGCCATCAGGAAGTCCACCAGTGGGGCCAGAACTCCAGAAGCCCTCCCACTGTGGCCCTTCAAGTACCTAGAAGACAGAGCATCACTGCCCCTGACAGAGTGTTCCATCTATACCTTGTGGCTAATAGCCACTCATGGACTTCTGCACTTCTTAAGAACACAAGAGAAGCCATGTTGGATCAGACCAATGGCCCATAAAAGAAGCCATGTTGGATCGGGCCAGTCCAACACCCTGTGTCACACAGTGGCCAAAACTCAGGTGCCATCAGGAGGTCCACCAGTGGGGCCAGAACTCCAGAAGCCCTCCCACTGTGGCCCCCCAAACACCAAGAAGACAGAGCATCACTGGCCCCGACATAAGAACATAAGAGAAGCCATGTTGGATCAGGCCAATGGCCCATCCAGTCCAACACTCAGTGTCCAACACTCAGTGTCACACAGTGGCCAAAAATACCAGGTGCCAGCAGGAGGTCTACCAGCGGGGCCAGAACTCCAGAAGATCTCCCACGGTTGACTGCCAAGAACCAAGAATACAGAGCATCACTGCCCCTGACAGAGTGTTCCATCTATACCTTGTGGCTAATAGCCATGGATGGGCCTCTGTTTCACACGTTTCTCCAGTCCCCTCTTGAAGCTGTCTGTGCTTGTAGCCGCCACCACTTCCCGAGGCAGTGAATTCCACATGCTGATTACTCCTTGGGTGAAAAGGTGCTTACTTTGATCTGTTCTAAGCCCAGGGCTATTTTGGGGCAGGAACGCACAGGAACAGAGTTCTGGCTGGCTTCAGAGTTGGCCACACCCACTACAGCCACACCCACTACTGCATGTGTGGCTACAGAGGGAAGGCCTGGAGAGCGACCACCCCCTGATGACTCCAAGGCGGGTGGGCCAGGGGGGCACCAGCCTTTCCCAGCCTGTCCAAGGGCCGGCTTGCCCAGGCTCCCTGCAGCGGGCACTTGGGCTAGCCAAGGAAAGGAATGGGGTGTGGCCTAATATGCTAATGAGCTGCACTGTCGGGGGTGTGGCCTAATATGCTAATGAGTTCCTGCTGGGCTTCTTCTACAAAAAAAGCCCCGTCTGAGCCTACTGCTCACTAATTTCACTGAGTCCCCACGAGTTCTTATATGAGAAAGGCAGAAAAGTACTTCTTTATCTTCTCTATCTCATGCACCTCTATTATGTCACCCCTCAATCGTCGTTTCTCCAAGCTAAAAAGCCCTAACCTCTTTAACCATTCTTCATAGGAAAGGTGCTCCATCCCCCTTTAAGTCATCTCAGTTGCCCTTCTCTGCACTTTCCCCAGTGCTGTGATACCTTTTTTGAGGTGCGGTGACCAGAACTGTACGCTGTATTCCAAATGAAGCCAAACCACAGATTTAGGCGGGGGCATTTGGAGCGTCTTTTACAAGAGCGGGCACGGAAAGCATACGGTCTGACTCCGAAGAGCATTCGGTGGAAGAGAAATTGCCCCAACCTGAATGGCCCGGGGCTAGCCCGATCTGGTCAGATCTCGGAAGCTAAGCAGGGTCGACCCTGGTTAGTACTTGGACGGGAGACCACCAAGGAAGTCCAGGGTTGCTACGCAGAAACAGGCAATGGCAAACCCACCTCTGTCTGTCTACCCTGACTTGAATAGCCCCGGGTAGTCTGCTCTGGTCAGATCTTGGAAGCTAAGCAGGGCCGGTCCTGGTTTGTACTTAGATGGGAGACACCAGCAAAGCTCAGAGTTGCTATGCAGAGGCAAGGAAGGGCAAAGACCTGTTTGTCTATCCCGACTTGGATAGCCCAGGGTAGCCTGTTCTGGTCAGATCTCGGAAGCTAAGCAAGGTCAGCCTCAGTTAGTCCTTGGATGGGAGACCACCAAGGAAGTCCAGGGTTGCTACGCAGAGGCAGGCCATGGCAAACCACCTATGAAGCCCCTTGCCTTGAAGATCCTATGGGGTTGCCATCAGTGTTCCCTCTAAGCTGAGTTAGTGTGAGCCGGCTCACAGTTTTTTAGCCTCCGGCTCACACATTTTTGTCTTAGCTCAGGAAGGACGGCTCCGGAGCAGTGTTCCCTCTAAGCTGAGTTAGTGTGAGCCAGCTCATAGTTTTTTAGCCCCCGGCTCACACATTCTTGCCTTAGCTCAGGAAGGGACGGCTCCGGAGCAAACTAACTTATGCAGTAGCCAAGAGACTCCACAGCTTAGAGGGAACATTGGTTGCCATAAGCCGGCTGCCACTTTACGGAACTTTCTACCACCACCAAATTGCCTTAATGATCAGGCTGCATTTTTTTTTTAAAAAAACCCTTGTGTGCTGTTTTTATCTTGCCAGCTGATTTGTGTCTCTGTGTGTGTGTGTGTGTTCTAAGCACCTGCCCCTCACTGTTGATTTATTAGCCAACCTGAGTCTAAGGAGATGAGATGAGATGCAAATATTACAAAGTGGTAAAAATGAATGCCTCTCTTTGGACAGCGCAGTCTTTAAACGCTCTGACCGCTTTGGGGGCCCTCTCCCAAGCTAATGACTACAGCAAATCCAGCTCACAATGAAAGCTGCACAAACACAAATCAGGATAGGAAATGCCAGAGAGTGGAGATCACGCCGATGAGCTACTTCGACAGGAAAGGAAAAAGAAATCCTCCAGCTAAACACCAGAAAGGCTGCCCACGGGACAGATTTCCTGGAAGCCTGAACCCTATTCCGTCGCAGAGAACATTCACGATCCTTGGCATTCCTTTGCTATTCTGCCCAAGATGACACATTCTGCTCCGGCGGGTTGCCAAACGGTCGTGGGGTTGAGATTTGGCCCAGGATTCTGGACATGGCACAGGGCTTGCTCCGCCCACCAGCCTGGAGTTCTGCCTTTCATTACAAGTAGAGTCTGTAGATCCAAAAATACAAGGCAAATGAGCAGGAGGAAGCATTCTGGCCCAATGATCTCACGAGAAACATGTCTGTTCCTTGGTACCCTAGCCAATGAAAGGGTGCCGCAGGTATGACTGACAAGCTGACAAGCTCGCGACCACTCTCCCCCTATTCCTTGGCTTCTGCAGAGAAGGAATCGGGAGAAAACTGCCAGTGCATCAGCGAGATCGAATCGAGCATGAATGCTCCCTAGGGGGAGGAGGAGACTGGATTTATATCCCGCCCTTCACTCGGAGTCTCAGAGCAGCTTACAAACTCTTTTCCCTTCCCCTCCCCACAACAGACACCCGGTGAGGTAGGTGGGGCTGAGAGAGCTCTCCCGAGAACTGCCCTTGAGAGAACAGCTCTGAGAGAACTTGTGACTGACCCAAGGTCACACCAGCAGCTGCATGTGGAGGAGCGGGGAATCAAACCCGGTCCTCCCAGATTAGAATCCGCGCATTTAAGCACTACACCGCAACGACCACTAAATGGAGGCTATCATACTTTGGTCAAAATTCAACGGGGAAAAAGAGAATACTTCTAGGAAAAGCTGAAGGCAGCAAGAAAAGAGGAAGACCCAATATGGGATGGATGGACTTCACAGGGGCACCACAAGTCGGAAGCGACCTGACGGCACTTCACATGCGTAGTTTCCCATGGAAAATGTTTATCTATAGTGTTAGGGCTGCTGTGCTGTGAAATCTATTCCGTTAGAAGGGTTAAAATGCGGGCTATGAAGCACGGATAAACACTAGTGCTTCTACAGGGTCTCTTGACCGCCTTCTGCTAATATGATTTAAATGTTATTAAACTATTTATCTTTGAACAGGAAAATGTTGTCATTCCAATTTCCGTGTCGCAGCTCAGTGGAGGGGCGGTGACTCAGTGGCAGAGCATCTTGCTTGGCGTGCAGAAGGTCCCAGGTTCAATCCCCGGCATCTCCAGTTCAAAGGACCAGGCAGGAGGTGATGGGGAAGACCTTAGC